ACATTGTTCGCCCTTGCCACTGACAGTGCTTCCTCTAAGTAATGCTCAAAATGGAGAAGCAATTATTCTTCAGCTGAGGGGAGGCAGTAAGTGGTAAATCAGAAGGCTTCATTTCCTATGTTTGATCAATGCCATAAGACTTCATGGGATTGTGGAATTAGCGTTGATGACTCCCAACTGTCTTAAAAGGGTGTCTGGCAGGTCTGTCCCACCAAGGGGACAGGACATAACCAGGGTTATTGTCTGTGAGATATGAGTCTGTATGACTGTGGCAGGTAGTTGCTTGAATAGTCAGTGGGACACTTCTCTCAAGACCTACTAACTGCTTGCAAATAGGGCTTTGCAGACTTGACATGATTGAGTTTACCAATGCCATTTCTGGTACCTAGGTCATTGCCAGGTCGCCCATTTAAGTGGGCAGATGCTTTGTGCCCGGAATCACATGTGAACGTATATTTTTTTTAAATGACTGTGGCGATACTATGGCTTTAAGAGGTTACTTTCTGTCCTTTTTTTTCCAAATGAAGAAAGATTGAGACACAGGTGCCAAGCAATCTGCTCAAAACCAATAAACAGCTTATCAGTGAGTTCGCAAAAGCTCATCACGTTCCTGCGCCTTGTCGTTGGACACGGACAAATGGCTACGCGGGATGTGAAAACAAAGGTTATCGGGGAGTTGAGTTTCCCATACCATCGAAGAGGGAAGTACGACGATTCCTGGGGCTCAGTTGTTTTCATAAGGAGTTTGTAGCAAATTTAGCAATGTGGTTGGTCCACTGACTGACTTGTTGAAGAAAGTTTCAGTGGACGGCGGACTGTCAGAAGGAATTTGACAGCCTGAAAGCTGTGTTAACCACACTTAATTACACAAAGCCATTCAAGGTGACTATCGATGCCAGTGCTGTACTCTTGCAAGATGATGAGAAGATAGAAAGAACTATTGGATATTTTTCCAGAAAATTTAATAATCATCAACAGGGGAGGTGATGGACTGTTAATCCACAGACTCAGACAACATTCTGAGGACTCCGGTTCAAATCCTGCCATGGCAGATGGTGAAATTTGAATTCAACAAAAAAAAAAAATCTGAAATAAAGGGTCTAATGATGATCATGAATCCATTGTCAATCGTTAGGAAAAACCCATCTGGTTCACTAATGTCCCTTAGGGAAGGAAACTGCCATCCTTACCTGGTCTGGCCTATATGTGACTCCAGACCCACAGCAATGTGGTTGACTCTGAACTACCATCTAGGCAATTGGGGATGGGCAATAAACACTGCCTAGCCAGCGACGCCCTCATCCCGTGAATGAATAAAAACAAAGAAATATTCCACAATTGAGAAGGAGACTTTGAACTTGCAACATTTATGTTGCTAGTAATCTGAGACAGTTGTTTATACTGACCAGAACCATTCAACATTTTTGGAAAAAATTTAAGGATAAAAATTTCAGACTGTTTAGATCGAGCTTTTTATTGCAGCCATTCAATTTGAAAATTATACAGATGGCAGGATGGAAGAACGTAATTGCTGATTTGTTGGCATGACTCTGATGAACAAAGATGGATGCGTTTGGTAGCGGGAGAAAACGGACTGCAGTAGTGAATGTCTGCACGCTTCGAGTTAATGTAATATTTATGTATTGGAGCATATTGATAGCAAAGACTGAAGGTTTTTAAAAATGAAGCCATCTTTATCTATTGATGGGTTTTTTTTGGTAGGGGTGTAAGAGGTATGACGATACTATGGCTTTAGAGGTATGTTTTGTCCTGGTATTTTTTTTAAATTAAGGTTGAGTCAGAGGTGCCAAGCAATCTGCTCAAAGCTAATAAACAGCCTCTGAGGCCTTGAGATAGTAGGAACTGCAGATGCTGCTGAATTATCTCAGATTCTCCAGCATCTGCAGTTCCTACTATCTCTGAAACAATTTTAACCCCACTGCAAAGCCATTTCTGAAGAAGGGTCTAGGCCTGAAACATCAGTCTTCCTGCTCCTCTGATGCTGCATGGCCTGTGGTGTTCATCCAGCTCTACACCTTGCTATCTCTTATTTCTGAGGCCTTGAGTTTTTTTTTTGAAAGAGTTCGAACAATACAAGCACTCTTCAATAGGGAAGGTAACAGCCTAGTGATATTATTGATGGCCTATTGATCCAGAGAGCCAGGTAATGTTCTGGGGATCTGGGTTCTAATCCCGCCATGGCAAATAGTGGAATTTAAATTCAATTAAAATCTGGAATTAAGAGTCTAATGATGACCATGAATCCATTGTCGATTGTCAGGGAAACCCATCTGGTTCATTAATGTCCTTTAGGGAAGGATACCGTCATCTTTTACCTGGTCTGGCCTACATGTGACTCTAGACCCATAGCAATGTGGTTGATTCTTAACTGCCCTCTGGGCATTTAGGGATGAGCAATAAATGCTGACCTAGCCAGCGACACCCTCATCCCATCAATGAATTAAAAAAAAGTGGGTGGCATCAAGCTCCCACATAACCAGAAATTTTAGTTTTACCTTTCAGCAGTTGCTGGGATCTTGAAGCTGGATGTGGAAGCTCTTATTTCTCTCTGTTACAGCTAAAAGCTGCCATAATTGCATCCATGGAATCCCTACAGTATGGAAACAAGCCCTACGGCCCAACAAGTCCACATCGACCCTCACAGCATCCCACCCAGGCCCATCCCCCTATAACCCATCTAATCTACACATTCTGAACACTATGGGCAATTTAGCATGGCCAATTCACCTAGCCTGCACATCTTTGGACTGTGGGAGGAAACCAGAGCACCTGGAGGAAACCTATGCAGACACTGGGAGAATGTGCAAACTCCAAACAGACAGTTACCCAAGGGTGGAATCGAACCTGGGCCCCTGGCGCTGAGGCAGCAGTGCTAACCACTGAGCCACTATGCCACAATCTAATTTACTGAACTTGCCTTTGCTAAGGGTGTGTTCATGTGAAGTTAATTAGTAGGACTAGTTAATTAGTAGTTATTATATATATACATTATGTTGTTAAGCATTTCGACAGAGTTACAATTAAGCCAATCCATTTTTATTTTGTCTATTTTTACACTACAGTTAAAATACAAAGTGTTTTGCTCCAAGTTGAGTAGTTTGACCAATCGAATTGCATCTGGAACGCGACGCCTTACACTTACCTTTAAAATAAGAAAAGGTTGGGTCTAGGCTATCTTCTTAATATATTTTGAGGGCTTGGTCTGGATGGTTACCATAAAATTTGACATTCAAAGCGGATTTAATTAGATTTCACAATTCAAATTTGACAGTTTTCAATTCCACTATCTACCATTATGGATCCCAGCCCATGTACCCAGAATGTTAGATGGAACTCTGCATTACTAATCCAGTGACAATACCACTATGCTAATGCATCCCCTTTATACCCATCCCCGAATAGTCTTGTTTCCTGTACTAAGAAATTATGAAGAAATAGTAGCCCTATAATTTCATATACAGCATCAAACTTCAGCTTCAGCTCTTCTAGGACATCTGAATTTGATAGTACTGAAACAGTTTTAGTGGAATTGCAAATATAATCAAACTAGTTTCACTGGAAGTTGGTACCTGCACTCTTTGCTGGGATTTTTAAATTCATATTGGAAGCCCACTCTCCACATGCTGACCAGTGAGACAGACCAAAAGGTCTCCTAATTCAAAGATTAATAAAGTTTTCAGAAAGCTCATATACAATTTCTAACTTGAAACTATGAAAAGTTAAACAACAGCCTCTTCTGAGTTGAGCTACAGTTTGTGTGGGACTTTGAATTCCGACGTACAAACGCTTGTCCTTGCAATTTATGGTGAGCAGTTTATCCCCAAATACATTTCTTTCATGGCAATGTTGATTTGAACTATACATTTAAATTGAAGAAGATGTTCAAGACTCTTAAAGCCCTTTAGGCTGGTGTCCTATTCTTCACCCAGCCAAATCTGAACTCTATCATCTTGGACTGTTACTGCAAGAAACACAAAGCAATTTTAATTTCTCTTCAAAACAATTTTTTTTTAAATTATAGAATTCAGATAGCTAGATGGATGATTATGGAAGGCTTTATGGAAACTAAACAACTAAATCTTTCTCGCTGAGCTTGGTGCAGAGTATATATGTCTGGAAAGCAGATTATTTCAACAGGCAATAAAATTATAAACATATTAGAAGAATCTGTAAATTTAGTGTAGATCTTAAAACCAGAGTAAAGCTGGCTGAAAAACAGCACGTGATCAGAAACTGAGATGTGAATTAAAGATGTGCTGAACTGAATGCAAGATAAGTGCATCTTTGTTAGAGTTGAACATTATACGAAAGGTGGTATTTTGTTGAAAGACAGAAGTTACTGGAAAACCTGAAAAGAACTTGAATGTGAAATAATATGGATTGTTCCAATATTTAAGAACAACTTGCATTTCTCAGCATGATTAGGACAGAAGTGTGAGCCTCAGCAAAATTCTGGTCGAGCTAGAGTTTATGTGAAATAAACTGGAGGTTGGTGGAAGTGGATTTTAAGAAATCCAAGTATGTATGAGGATTTCCAACAGTTGTGTAGGTGAAGGTAACATCCATAGATATCAGAAAAGTGCAAATTGATAATTGTTATGGCTGTTGCGAATAATGGAAATTATATGGAGCACAAGGGATAAGAGTCAACAAAACACAGACAATAATCTAGGAACCAAATGATTCCCCTAATAAAAGCAAAATATTGCAAACGTTTTGTCTCAGATCTCCAATGAAGTGCTGGAGAAACTCAGCAAGGCTATCATCATCTGTGGACAGAGAAAATATCCCTTCTTCCATGGTGAATGAGGGAGAATTTAATTGTAATTTGACCATAGAACAAATGGAGAAGATCATTGTAAATCTCTGTTGCAGGTTCGCTATCTATAAATCCTTCTATTGTTTTCCATTAGACTTATCAAACTGTAGTATTGTTTAAATTTCACATCTTAATTGTCTTGATTACAGAAGATAATTACCCCTTCTCCAGTTTTGTGAAAATCCAGACTTGGTAGCGATGGCATGTGAACAAAAGCTTTTTTCCTCAGACCACTATAGCAATATGTTTCAAGGAGTTAAGGTCAAATAACTTAGTTTTATTCTAAGTAAAGTAAGTATGCTGACAGTAGAACACAGACTTAAAAACAAAGGATTATGTGAAGTTTGAATTCAATGAATTGGAACTTTAAGGGTATCAAAGAAGAAGAAATGATAAATGCAAAATAGAAGACAACCCCATTAATAAATTAAGGAGAAAAAGTATAAAATCTGCATCTGTAGCCTTTTCACAACAAATTCTTTGGTATTATGAATCTGAAATCCATCCCAACACATTCAGTTTTTTTGTTTTCAAGTGTTTGATCATTTCTCCTCATCTATGCTCTCTCTCTTACAACATACCATAAACCTTCTACAGTTCCAAGGTCAGAGAGCTTGCTCCAAGATATTATAGGTGCGTGCCAGAACCTAAATGACAACATATCAAATGTTTCCATATCTCAGCAAAAACTGCAAAAAAATCTGGACAATAATATGCATTCCTTTACTGTTACAGGGTTGCATACCATTGTTCTAATTTACCTGCTAGATGAGTGACCTTCTTTTGTAGTAAACAGCTCAGGTCAATTGTTAAGTCCAATAAAAGAGCCACACTTTCTTTAAAAATTAATAAAAGTAATATTTTATCATTACATTAAGCTCAAGCAGATTATCAACAGGTAAGTAGCTTATTGCTGATAGACAATTTGTGCAATAGAACAGTCACAAAGATGAAATTTTTGTTCCGTCCAACATTTTAAATTGAGTAATTTGTACTTAAAATTTTTTATAAATGGAAAGGGCAATTGTAGTAATATTCTCTATGACCAAACAAGGAGGATTTCAGGACCAGTTGCTTAGTTACATGCGAAATTGCAATGATCTATTCAAAAAGAATTTTCTTTGTGTATTGTTATGAATGCCTAATGTCATAGTTCATGTGTTTTAGAAGCATGTCTTTTCAGCATTAAAAATTGAATTTTAAAGCAAGTTCAGTAGGGAAAACACTGGTAAACAGCACAAATTTAAGACAATTATAATTCAGCAAACTGATCTTGGAGCTACAGTGTGGAGACAGGGATAATCTTTCACGGAGGTTTGACTGTTAAGGTTGTGGGGAAATGGTTGATTTTTTTTCTGATATTTTTAATAAGAAAGCTTCAAACAGTTCTTGGATGGTGCAACATAATTTACACTTTCTTTTGATAAAAGCATATTGATAGCCTTCTGTGAATCTGCTAATGGACTGACTATCAAAGTAAGCAAAGAGAAAAAATAAACAACTTGCGATCCATCAAGCCAGGTCTCACTCTGGGATCTGACTTGTTTAGTATTACCATCATCTATGATCATGACATGATAATCAAGTTTGCTACAGTTTGAAATCAGAACTGTGTGCAGCTAGAAACCAAGGATGTTTTCAAATGTTTTAAGCCACTGTGCAAAACCTGCAGGAAGGGTAGTTCTGGAAATGTAGAATCCAAAGTCCTGAGTCAGTAAAGAAATTGGAAGGTTGCTTATCCAAAAAATAATGGAAGGGTACTTATTAAATCTTTTACCTTGGTAAGGTCGCTGGAACACTGAAGATAAATAATGAATTCTGAACAATTGCAATGTACTATTTGAGATGGTCCCAGGAAAGTAAATGAATCTTAAAGATATTACGAAATAAGGCACCTCTGAGGGGAAATAGAAGGTAGAACAGCATTTAGAGGGTAATTTGAGTGTTAATAGTTCTCATTGAGTTTAAGTCTTGTTGATGTATTACAAGTTTGTTCTAGTTATAAACCTGAAATTTTGTCATAGTTGCTGGCAAATTGCTAGCTGTTCCAATTTCTGCTTGAAACGTTAACAGTCCTTAACAGGATCATTCACTGGGGTCATACAGGAATGCTGTTACTCAAATTAAAAATGAAGACATTAGCACTCTAATATCAGAACAACTCTAAAAGGATATTTTGATTTGCCTCTCGTGCCTAGGCGTCGAGCTTTCATGTTTGGAAAGACATTCCTCATAACCTTCCCAAAGTCAGCTGCACTTAAAGAGTTATAACCAAGATTGTCACAATAGCCTCTGGAAAATAAAATGTGAAATTCTATTTGGTCACACTGCAACTAAAAAAGGTGATCTCTGTTCTCATACATTAAAAAGAAACAAGATAGCCGGTATCAATGCCTCTCAATTGCTGGCCACCAGGAGATGATTCACAGTGCCATAGTTGTTTTCTTTGCCAATGTGTCTTTCCTATAGAGAAAGTCTTTACCTGATTAATGGTGCAGCTAGAATGACAACACACCTGCTGATGAACTACGCACAGAAATTCAAATCTCTTGTGTCATGACTTTGAGTGCCCACAGTGTGCTAAATTATAACAATTACCAATTAATCTGGTTGTGATGTTAATGAATGAATGTTTACAAGAACTTTTATGCCTTCAATCAGAAAGACTAAAGTGATAGAAAAATAAATTAGCAGCAATGCAAATAACATAATACATACCAGCTGCGCAAGATAAGGGAGAAAACTGTGGAGGACAATTACAGCTTTCAATGTAACACCAGTAGAAAAGAAATCACAAAATTCTCTGGTTTCCTAATTTGTTTGGAATAACACAAACCAATACTCTAATTTTAGTCTACGGATGAATCTACTTGAACCTTTGCTCCATTAAAAAATAACTGATTATGCATATACTACAGATAGATTCAAGAAAGAAAAAGTTCCGCACAGGGTCAGAGTTGTACAGCACAGAAACAGACCTTTCTGTGCAACTCGTCCATGCCAATTAGAGATTCTAAATTAGTCTCATTCTATTTGCCAGCATTTGGCCCATAATCCCTTAAACCCTACTCATGTACCCATCCAGATGCCTTTTAAAATGTTGTAATTGTACCAGGCTCCACCACTTCCTCTGGCAGTTCACTCCATACATGCACCATTCTCTGCGTGAAAAAGTTGCCCCTTAGGTCCCTTTTATGTCGTTTCTGCTCTCACCTTAAATCCATGACCAAAACCTGCTAGTTTTGGACTGCTCTATCTGAGGAAAAAGACTTTGGCTATTCACCTTGTCCATAATTTGAAAAACCTCTCTAAAAGGTCACCCCTCAGCCTCCAATGCTCCAGGGAAAATAGCCCCAGCCTATTCAGCCTCTCCCTATAGCTCAAACCCTCCAACCTTGGCAATATCCTTGTAGATCTTTTCTGAACCCTTTCAAATTTCAAAACATCCTTCTTATAAACAGGGAGACTAGAATTGCAAGCAATATTGCAATAGTGGTCTAACCAATGTCCTGCATAGCCGCAACATGACCTCCCAACTCCTATACTCAATGCACTGACCAATTAAGCAAGCATTCCAAATGCCTTCTTCACTATCTTTTCTACCTGTGACTCCACTTTCAAGGAACGATGAACCTGTACTCCAAGGTCTCTTTGTTCAGCAACATGCCCCAGGACCTTACTATTAACTGTATAAATTCAGCCCTGATTTGCCTTTCCAAAATGCAGCACCTCATATTTTTTTTAAATTAAACTCCATCTGCCACTCCTCGGCCCATTGGCCCATCTGATCAAAGTCCCATTGTACTCTGGAGGTACTTTCTTCATTGTCCACTACACCCCCAATTTTGGTGTCCTCTGCAAACTTACTTAGCATTCCTCCTATACTCATTTATATAAATGACAAAAAGCAGCGGACCCAGCACCAATCCTTGCGGCACACTGCTGGTCACAGGCCTCCAGTCCAAAGAACAACCCTCCACCAGTACCCTCTGTCTCCAACCTTCAATCTAATTTTGTATCCAAATGGCTAGCTCTCCCTGGATTCCATGTGATCCAACCTTGTTAACCAGTCTACCATGCAGAACGTTGTCAAAATATCTTGCTGAAATCCAAATATACAATGTTCATTGGTCTGCCCTCAATCTTCTTTGTCACTTCTTCAAAAAACTGAATCAACTTGGTGAGACATGAATTCCCACGCATAAAGCAATGTTGACTACCCCTAACCAGTCCTTACCTTCCCAAATACATGTAAATCCTGTCCCTCGGAAACCCCCCAACAACTTACCTGCCACTGACATCAGGTTCACCAGTCTGTAGTTCCCTGCCTTTTCCTTACCACCTTTCTTAAATAATGGCACATTAGCCACACCCCAGTCTTCTGACACCTCATTCGTGGCCATTGCTGATACAAATATCTCAGCAAAGAGCCCAGCAACCACTTCTACAAAGCTCTGGGATACACTTGATCAAGTCCTGGGGATTTATCGCCTTTATGTGCTTTAAGACATCCAGCACCACCACCTCTGTAATTTGGACACTTAAAAAGGTACTACTATTTATTTCTCCAAGTTCCCTGGCTTCCACATCCTTCTCCACAGTAAATACTGACATGAAATACTTATTTAGTATCTCACCCATCTCCTATCCTTCCACATAGAGGCAGCCTTGCTGACTTTGAAGGGGCCCTAGTCACCCTTTTGTCCTTAACGTATTTGTAGAATCCCTTTGGATTCTCCTGAACCCTATTTGCCACAGCTGTTTCATGTCCCCTTTTTGCCCTCCTGATTTCTCTCGAGTATACTCTTTCTTATACTGAGTAATTCACTTGGTCCCAGCCATTTATACCTGTCATATGCCTCCTCCTTTTTCTTGACCAGAACCTCAATTTCTCTAGTCATCCAGGATTTCCTATATTTACCAGTCTTCCCTCCACACTAATAGGAACATGCTGCCTCTGGGCTCTCATTATCACATTTTTGAATGCCTTTATCTGCAAATAACCTCTCCCAATCAGCTTTTAGAAGTTCTTGCCTAATACCCTCAAAATTGGCCTTACTCCAGTTTAGAACTTTAACTTTTAGATCAGGTCTATCCTTTTCCGTAACTACTTTAAAACCAACAGAATTCTGATCACTTGCCCAAAAGTGCTCCCTCACTGACACCTCAGTCATTTGCCCTGCCTTATTTCCCAAGAAAAGGTGGTGAAGTTTTGTTCCTTCTTAGTAGGTTCATCTGCACAATGAAGGAAATTTTCTTGCATATACTCAAATTTCTCTCCATCCAAACCCTTATGGCAGTCCCAGTCTAAATGTTAGATGCTACTTCATTTCACTGGAAGAAGTGTGGAGAAGACAAATAGAATTTCAGTTCTAACGTCCTTTGATAAAAGTGAAAGGTACTGAAATTTTAAAAAAACTCAATATTCTGTTTTTGCAATCCTTTCGTGTGCACAACAGGATCTAGTAGATCTACCAAAATGCACATCTTTAGTCTTCATTCTGAAATCAACAAACATAACAATTTCAGGCCATTGGTTCACAATTCTGATATTCTTCTTTAAAACCAAAATTACAACCCTGAACAGAAGTTAACCAAGCAAACAAATAGCTTGACATCCCAGTCTACTTTCATAAATCTGGGTAGCTGTAGGTGATCCAGAATTAAATTTTCTAACAATGGCAAGGAAAACGTTAGTGTATATAATGCAACACTTCAATATGTTGAGTGAAAAGATCCAAATAATCAACTGCAATCAACTTATATTTTTACAAAATGCTTCATCAGAGGAATTGTGAACCCAAAACATGCTGTACTTTTAAGAATATATAACTATTACCATATAATCAAGCTAAGTGCAGTAATTTGTAATTTTAAAGTATTACATATACAATGTCAGATGAGTATCCCTTAACATTGCCATACCTATTCTTGATTTAATAAGAATTATTAGATAAATTGATAGACATTATTCATTAAAGGACTGAAGACAAATTAGAACTATCTGCTATTATGACTTCGACCAGTTACATCATATAGAAGCAAACAAAAATGAAAATAATTTCCAAGGTCACAAATAAAATCCAAAAATGACTTTTAAGGCTTACAAAATCAGTCTATAATTAATCTGAAATCATCATTAAATCAGGAAAAGTCTTATGACAAATGATAACAAATAACTGATAGAAAGCATATATAGTTTTACAGAAAAATAATTTATTAATGCAATGCATAGTTATAAGATACCTTGATTAAATTGCGCTTGTGAATATACATTTCAGATGAAAAACAGCATTGTTATTCAGATCTGCGGCAGCAACACTTACTTGTATTCGTCATAGACTTCTTGTTTGGGCAGTGAAGTATCTGGGTGGTCCTCCAAATGATTTCGGATCCAGTTACAAGCATGCATTTGTTGTGTACGACTGGATGATAAAGAGCTTGGATTACTACAAAAAAAAAGTGCACTGGTTTTAAAAAAGTTCGAGAAACTGCTGGAGATAGTAGGAACTGCAGATGCTGGAGAATCCAAGACAACAAGGTGCAGGGCTGGATGAACACAGCAGGCCAAGCAGCATCATAGGAGCAGAAAGGCTGACGTTTCGGGCCTAGACCCTTCATCAGAAAAGGGGGAGGGGAAGGGGTTTCTGAAATAAATAGGGAGAGAGTGGGAGGCGGATAGAAGATGGATAGAGGAGAGGAAACAAACAGGTCGAAGAGGCGGGGATGGAGCCAGTAAAG